AAATATTTTAGCAAAAAATGTTGCAAAATTTATGTATAATACATACACTTTTTTATCCTTCAGAGTGCCTTCAACCCATTTTTTTCAGCCGGGTTTTGTAGCACATAACACAAACACACACACACACGCACAACTAACACACATACCTAACCTAAAAGATTCTGTATATGACAGATAGCACTGAGAACTGTATAGCGCCTCTATCCCAAAATCGCGGAATAATCGAAAAGTATGGCATTTTGAAAATAAGTCTCTAAGCTCTATTTTTTTGGTTTTCCATTATTGTTTCATACGCTCTTCTTCGGCACACACTCTTGTTTTGCAGATTGAAGCAGTATAATTTTGATATAAAAGATATAATTTTTTGAGGTGACATTGTCGATAAATTTTCAAAAATTTTTTTATTTTTTGGTTTAAATTTCACTATCCACCGAAAGATTAGCATGTGCACTTTACTTACACCAAAGGATTTGTAATTCTATTAAAGCAATAAAAAATGCCATACTTTCCAGAAAATTAGAAGTTCGGTCGGTAACAATATGACTTCAGCATCCTCTTAAGAGATATAAATAATATATATCTATTATAATCATAATTAATTAAATAGAACTAGTATCTGAACATATTGCAACGTGAACTAGCCTCTGAATCACGCCAGATCCGAGGGAGCACGCCCAATGGAAATCGGTAACTCGCGGGATCGGCAATAAATGCTCGATTCGGTAACTTACGGTATCGGAAACAGATGCTTGATTCGGTAACTCGCGGTACTCCACGCTCGTCGGGAGCAAGGTAACTCGCGAAATCGGACGGTAGCAATCGGTATCTTCCTAAAAGACGGTAACGGTAGGACGGTACGGTAACTAAACGAACGGTAAACGAAACGGCAACGAGAAGAGACTGTCGGCGCTTAATTCTCGCAAGACGGAGAGACTGTTACGCGATATCCGGAGCCGGCTGGATATGCGGTAATTGAGCGTAATTAAGCGCTCACGGTATCAAAACTACGGTTAATGGTGTGAGAAACACTACATATAAAACAAACTCACGCTACCAGCCATCACCGGACGGAACTCTACGGCTACCCGAGAGGCGGCTTACAATGAGTGGACGTCTTCGGCGTCTTCGGTGTCGTCGGGCTGAGTCCTGGATGTCGTCCTCGCGCACTTGCGGCACACCGAACAGTGGCTCTTCTCGGCTCTGCATGTAGGTTCTTTCCAAATCCGCGTCGCCTTCCTGCGCATCCTGCTGATTTTCCGAAAAGGGGGGCCCCTGAGAACCGCCCACAGTTCATGCAGGGCGCCCCCCCCCCCCGCTCTCTGTGGTTTCCTCAAATCCTTTGGCCGATAATGTATTGATGAGTCGATGTTCCCGGAAGAGACTGGTTAGGCTGGCCGGGCCATACTCCGGTCCTTCTGGGTGCAGCATCTTCGGAGCCCTTGAAGCCGTCTGCAGCCGGGCGAGGTCCGCTGCTGCGTGTCTCTGCGCTTCTTTGATTCTGTGGTTAAAACCAGAGCGGAGTTAGATAGGGCTTGGATGGCGGAGGCGACGGAATCGCGGTACCTGACCTTTTGCTGTGGGGTCACGAACGCGTGACACCCGTCGATGATCCCCCGGCGTCCGGTCTTCATGGCGATGCTGCATCTTCGCCCTGAGGCACAAAACACGCAACGCCGCCCGCACGGGGTCTCGCCTTACAACTTAAACGATATTAACAATATAAAAACGGGAATGACAATATAGACAACGCGCAAAGATTGTGGAGTCTCGCGGGTTGCTCTCTCCACGCGAGGAGCAACACCAGGACTCCTTGCTCCCTCGGTCGGGCTATCGCCCTTGTGACGGCGCTCGAAAAGCGTCACGTCACAATATATACATAAAAAGAGAGAGAGAACAACTCAATCCGAGTCAGAGATCAAATTGTCTATTGCTCTTTTCCTGTCTAGAGCCTGAAGTTCGCGTTCGTCCGCTTCTTTTCTAGACATGACTACACTACAAAATCTGGAAAAAGCTTTCCATTTCTCTACATCTTCTAAGATAGCCACTACAACAGAGGGCAGATCTAGCCTGTCGCCTATGACATTCTTTAAAATATTCCGCTCCTCGTTCCAGGCTTCGCAAAATTCTAGCGTATGTTGCGCGTTGTCATTAGATGAGAAGCATTGCAGACATAACGGCGTTTCAATCTTATTTATTTTACACAAAAATTCATTCAGACAACCGTGATCTGTAAAGATTTGGGCCATATGAAAGTTGACCCAACCGTGGTTTCTACTTGTCCAATCCATGAGGACCGGTCCGATCGCATTGCGCACACGTAAGTCCGGTTGGTCATCGCGCATTTCCAACAAATCCTGTCTCCAACTACGCATCGCATCAATTTTAGCGTTCATCCGCATAATTTCCCCAGACCTAGGGGAAATTTCATTCCCTTCGTACTTAGCTTCCCTTAATCGCTGAAAAACTATCACCAACCTATCAGCCGTATATTCCAGAGGCGGTGTACCCGAGAGAACCATGGCCGCCGTGTACGAAACTGTACGGTATGTACAGCAAACCCTTTGAGTTATCTTACGCATTAATTTTTCCACTAGAGACCTCGCAGTTCGATTTTCGCGAAATAAAGTGTATCAGACTGCGCCATACAAGATAATAGAGAGAACCATATTTAGATATAATCTACGTTTTTTTTCTCCCGGACCCCTACAATTTGGCATAATTCTCCACAGAATTCTCACAACTTTATCCACTTTTAAGGAAATTTGACGAAAGTGGTGTGTGAAGCTCTACTCGCTATCTAGAAAAATCCCCAGATATTTCAAAGTACTAAATATAACTATGTCCCTGTCTTTAATGAATAAACGACCACAAGAACCACGCCCAAGGCCACTGCCAAGGCCGGGAAGGCCATCGCCTCTGTTTTATGCGGAGAAATTTCCAACCCCATTACTTCTAATTTTCTAATAATAAGACCAGCAGCTAACATTGCTTTGTTTCTAGTTTCATCAAAGTTCTCACCAGAAACCAACAGGATGGTATTGTCCGCATAACCCAGTGTCCAACAACCCTCCGGAAGCGCCAAGGTAAGTATTTTGTTGTAACCAATGTTCCACAGAGTCGGCCCAAGGACCGATCCCTGTGGAACCCCACAAGTCATCTGCCTGACTCTAACTTTACCATTGCAATCAATGAATGAAAGGCTTCTTTCCGAAAGATATGCCGACACTATCCTACACAAGTACTCAGGGAATTCCATGGAGGACATGGCTCCCCTGATAATTCCCCACGGAAGAGAGTTAAATGCGTTCTTTATATCAAAACTCACACAAATAACTATTTTCCCATCATTTATCTCATTACGTACTGTTTCGCGAAGCTTCAGTATGGCATCTATAGTCGAACGTCCCTTCCTAAAACCAAATTGGTTCTCAGAAAGAGCGCCCGAAAGCTCCAAATGACCATGTATTCTCGATACAATTACTCTCTCGAACAACTTTGCTGATTCGTCCAAAAGACATATTGGCCGATAGACACTAGGATCCGATATTGTACCCTCCTTTTTCCTCAAAAGAACCAGTTTCGCCCTTTTCCACGCCTTAGGAAAGTTACCCTCCCTAAAGCACGCATTGAAGCAAGCAAGCCAAGCCTCCATGAAACTCCCTAGGCTACCAGAGAGCACACCTCCCGCGACCCCATCAAGGCCCGGTACTTTCTTACAACCATATATTTTTTTTGCAGCCTCTCTGATCTCTTCCTTAGTAACTTTTAAGTCGTCATACCATACAGGAAGGCGACCCAAATAATCTGAGTCTAGATAGTTATCTCTCCGGAAAAAAAACCCGTATAATTTTTTCACTATATTATAAGATATAGTCTCAGTAACCGAATGCGCAGATGGTCTTAACTTCTTAAAAATGATTTTGTAAGGTAAACCCCATGGGTCCTTATCAAGATCTGCCAAGAGCTCATTCCACGCCTTCGCTTTCGTCTTTTTAATATATGTCCTATATTCACAGAGAGAGACTCTATATTCTCTATATTTAATCGCCACTATATCCGCATTTTGTCTCTTTTTCGCCCTAGAGAGAGCCCTTCGCGCGCGAACCACAATTCCCCTTTGATTTACCAGGTCTTCATTCCACCAATAGGAAGACTTACGAGAACCGCCGCTATTCCTTGGTGTAGAAAAATCACAAATTTCATATAAAGATTTATTAATCCATTCGACTAGGCTCATGGAAGAAACCATATTTACTCTGTCAAATCCCCAGACTTTACAAATAGCAGCCGTTTTCAATGCTTCGGCATCTATTTTGCGAAAGTTCCATTTTGGAAAACTCTGTTCCACGGACAAAGATCTCTCTCTAGCTGGACCTGATCTAATCTTGATACTAATTAATCTATGATCAGATAGAGAAGGCGTATCTATCTCCACCACGCAACTTAAGACTAAACTATTCGCTTTAAAATTACCTATAACTAGATCAACGACAGATTCTCCCATATATCTGATGCAGGTTGGAGTGAACTTATTATTTAAAATTATCAGATCCATATGATCCAACCAATCTTTAAATCTTTTGCCTCTTACATTGACACCACCTCTGTCCCAACTCGAATGCCGCGCATTAAAATCCCCTAGTAACAAAATAGGGGAATTTCTATATTTCATAATAATTAAATAAATATCATCAAGAAAAGTATTAAAAACTAAAGGTGGAGCATTCGGTGATACATAGCAACTAAAAATTATAACGTCGTTCCATTGCACAACACAAAAGCCACGACCTTTTTCCAGTCTGATCATAGGCGAGAATCTGTCTTTAACTCTACGCCACCAGATGCGGTCTTTGGGAGTACATTACATTCGCACACCCACCTTTCATCTACAGGCACTGAATTTGGTTCACTTATGACAGCCAGGCCCGCATTCCTTTCGTCCATAATTATCGCTCCAGATTATCCTGCGCCTGTCGTGACAAATTAATATTACCTTGTAAAATTAACATTATGTTACAGAATCAATGTCCATAACCGCAGCAGAAAATCCCGCCGCATCTTGAGGTCTCCGAGGCTCAGCATCCTTAGGAGTGGAAAGGTAAGAATCATACTCTTTATTTTCTTTATTATTTAAGTCTTTTGATGCAACCTCTATTCTTTTAGGTGGCACCGGTTTACAGTTAATACTGCCGACCAGATGATTAGAATTAAGGCCTCTATCCCCGCAAACAGGACATACAATTTTATTTTTGCACTCTTGTGCCTTATGGTCAGTCTGCCCACATTTATAACAACTGAATCTTCTGATTACAGAGCTGGGGCATCTCTGTACTGTGTGAGCAACAGCAAGACACCTGAAGCACTGCATCGGTCTTGCTTTTAAGGCCTCCACGCTGATTGTAGACCAACCTATAGTAAATTTACCCTTTTCTAATACTTTTACAGCCGCGACAATCGGGCACTGGAGAAATACAACTCCCATACCACCACGTACATACCGGATTGCACTACAGTTAATATCCAAAACACTACAGGTACCAACTTTCATTATCATTTCTTTAATTTCGCTGATAGAAATTGAATCATCAATGCCCGAAAGTCTCAATTGAGCTTTTTTTGTAGGTCTACGTAAGCTGACCCCCTTCACACCGAAGAGCAGCTCCCTCATCTTATTGTACAACATGTCGGCCTTAACATCCGACTCAGCGCCAGGAATCTCAATAAGGACACTCCCATTTGCAGAGTGTTTAATGCAAGTGCCCTCAATGCCCAATTCCGCTAACGATATCTTTCCTCGTGCCATACTCAAAACCTCTGAATATGATAGTTCGCATTCCTCCAGAAGTATGGACACAGCCGCAGTATTAGGTACTTTCTTCTTAAGATTAGTCAAAATTTCCTTATTAGAAGCATTGCCAACAGATTTCACATTTGACCTTAAGTTTGAGGGGCCAGCCAAAGCTAACTTATTAGGAGTGGATCTTTTCACCACCGCTCTGTCCATTCCTCTTCCCCCCCCCCTACCAACTGTTGTCCATTCGTTATTATTATCATTAGAATTACTTACATTAGAAGAATTCTGAAAATCTCCTTCACTACCACTAACAATGTTATTATATGAATCAGCAATTTCCATATCTGTTTCAACACTTTGTGAGAAATTAATAATTTTCTTTTTCTTTTCAGAATTGTCAGCTGAGTTTGCAAAAACCCCACTACGCTCCGATTGAATAAAATCTTTATTATTTATTATTTATTTATTATTTCGCTTATTTTTCTTTTTCCCTTTTTTAACTACCGAGGCATAGTTCGTTTGTTTCAAAAACGGGCCAGTTTTAGAGAAAATTGTTTCTTCAAATTTGTCACTAACCTTGCTTTTAATCACACCTTTTTTCTTGTTGATTTCCTCAGAGTTATCTTTCTTGGAATTTCTCCGCTCGTTCGTGCCACAGAAAACCTCTCTAGTCTGCCTGGATAAGCTGGGTGATTCCATCCCCAAGCCTGTCCAAGGAGCGAACAATGGCCAGATCCAATTCAACCCTGTTCTGGGGCTCAGAACACATCACACGTTCACTATCTTTTCTATTTAGCACAATTTATCACTAGTGTTTCTGTTTCTAAAATATATACCTTTTGTATCGTCCACAGGAATCGGAACCTCCTGTTCAACCTGCATATTATCAACATTAAAGTCTGGGATCTCAGGTAACTCACTCTCACCGTTATTATCGTAAGCATCTTTAATATATTCTCTTCTTTTTGTTTCTTTCAACTCAATCTCTAAGGCATCAGCTTTGGATTTACTTTCCATCGCTGTTTTCTCCATTTCGTAAAAACGCGATTTCCAGTAATCTGGATCCTCTTTGAAAGTCGCTTTGTTCGTTAAAAGGGAACTAGCTCTTCTTATTACCTCAAGAAAAACCTTTATTTGTCCACTGAAAGATCCTTTGATATTTGAGGATCTCCTCCTAATGGATTCAATTTCATTGACCATATCTTTTATTTTCAAGTTAATTTGCACAGCGTGCTCCAGCTCCAAACTCGCCAATTCCTCATCAACTCGCTTTTTGTTATTATAAGAGAATTGAGTTCCAAATTTCTCCTCTTCAATTTCCTCGTCAGGGGGAGAACCTCTCTTCTTTCTCTTTTTCCCTCCAATTAATTTACTTCTTTTTTTAATGACATCAGATGATCCAGATTGCAGAGCTCCGTCAGAATCAGAATAGTCCGCTCGACAAAGCCAGGAAGTGTTGAGTGCAGGTGTCGCAGATCGGGACATCTCTATATCCTCAACAACCACCAAATCATTATCACTCTCCACCCGAGACTCAGAACCAGTTCTCCTTTTTGAAGGCAAGATTGTAATGGCCTTATCAACTTTTACATTGCTGGCGATAGCAGGTCGGCTCCCCACGCTCGCCGTAGACGTGGAGGCTAGCCCTTCGCATGTTGACGATCCGTGGAGTACAGGGACAATATCCTCCACGTACCGGTTTCCGGTATCCGACGCCGGAACGTT